CCTGTACACACGTCCATGCTTCCATGAGTTGCTTTTCCTTCTGTACTCGTTGCTGAATTTTCCATCCCTTGTCATAGTCTTCTGTTCTATTCCCCCATTTGCTAGAACGTATATTCCAGACCAAATTAATTTTCATTGCAGCCTCTTTTTTTCCTCTTCCCCTGCCTGTAGAGACTATTCCCCATGTATCTGTGTTTATCACTGTCCTCTTGTTGCCCACTAGATAGTCTAGGAGAGCTTCACTGCTCAGACCCTTTCTCTGAAGTTTTGATTTCTGTTAAAAGCAAGCACTGATATTGAAAACATCATAGTTTTCTAGGTAAAATCAGTTCAGGAGCAGAGGACACTTCCAGGATTTCCTAATCTCCCCTTGCCCTCACTCCTTTTTGTTCGTTACTCTGCAATATGTGCAGACATGAAATGGAGCAGCTTTATTCCAGTTTTGATACATCTGCTTATCCAGTATAATTTTGAAGTTTAAACTTGAGCCCAGATGTATCCATACAATGTTCTTAACTGATTATGTGTAAACCAGGGTAGGTTTGGGGTTTTTTTTCTTTGGTGATGGTGAGGTACTGTTGGATAAATGCCATGAAGCAGCAGATATTTGCTTCCTCAAGCTCTGTGTTTTGATAGCATGTACTACTCCCTCCCTGCCCCTAACATTATTGGAAACTTTGAGAAAATTCTAGCCAAGAAGAGATACCGTTATTCTTATGTTCTTATTTTATTGCATTTCATGGCAGTCTTGCTGCCTGTTCCCCTTTATTTGACGTATAGCATCAGCAGCTTTCCTAAAATTCAGAACATTAGAAGAGATCCTGAGTTAAGTCCCATTCACTGCTGTTGCATATACATCAGGTTGCAGATACTGGTCCAATCCTTACCTGAAAGGATTGAGGGTTTGGTTTGTGTGGTTCAGTTCTATTTTTTAATTTCTTGGGGAGGGGGGCTGGGGTGTTTGTTGTGCCACCATAGTTCTTATTAAATTAATGTTTCAGAGGCACAATGTTTTGGGGGCTGTGGAAATTGGAAGCATATTTGTAGATGGAGTTCCTATGACCAGCCTAATCCATTTGGATTAAAGTCAGTTTTGCTTTTTCATTTAAATAGATTATGTCCTGTTTGGTTACCCCCATCACAATTGACCAGAGACCACTTGTATTCCTTCTCAGAAAAGCTCTTCATTTCCTCTTAACCAAGAAAGCAGTGTCCTTTTTATCTTGATCACAGTGCCTGCTCCAGCTCCAAATTTCTGGAATGTTGAAGTGGCAAAATAAAACTCTAAAAAAAGAGGTTTTATATTTATACGTGCGTTATACGGCTTTGTTGCGCTTAGCTGTATGGGAATTTATTCTGCTATTCACTGTGATTTAGGGGAAAAGTATGATAAATTTTGTCATACACTGTATATGTAATATTATGCATACCCCATAAGAAAGAAATGAATTGTAAAGAAAACAGTTCTCTAGCATTTGGGAGAATTTAGTGATGATAAGCTGATGATTACCTGAAATAGGTAATTTAAATATACAATGAAATTCTGTAAACTGAAAATACTGGAGTATAGGAGAGTACTTGAAGGGAAGGTATCACTGTGCCTTGTCTAGTTCTCATCCCTAAATACTTGCTTTCTCAATAGTGTGACAGACAAGTCTTAAACTAAGACAGTGCTTTTGCTTTTATCTGGTACTTCTGCTGTTACGTTATTTTAGCTAAGGTGTTTCTTAGTCACCTATGTCTGCTATACCCATTATATGAAGTCTTGCATTAGTGTAAATTTGACGCTACTTCTCTGTAATGTGTTTGCCCCCTCCCCCCCCCCTTAATGAGTAGTATGATATTACTGCAGGGATGGATTAAAAACATAGAGGTGTGTAGGTAATTTTCTGGTGCTTCTGTAATAAAATAAAATTGCATTTTGTATGGATCGCAGGTGATACGCATACATCTTGGATGTGAAGTCTCCAGTCTTGCTACTAGCTGTTGGCTATTGATATTCCCCTCTTGTAGAATATGCCAAGATGTGGACAGTCTTTTGACTGCTCTCCTGCAACTACTTTTCTACATTTCATAAACTACCAGACTGCAGCAGTGTTCTTCAGTCTAGTAAGAGATTGAGGGTGCTAAAGACAGTTGATGCCCAACTCTTAATCATAAAGATGGAAATATAACAACTCCTAGACAGATTAGCAGAGCTCATACTTGGCTTTTTAATGTCAAAGTTGAACCAAGCCTAATTAGTCAACAGGGGATAGGGACTGATCTGTTGGGTATCCGTGGGGTACTGCTTTTCTGGTGCTATCAAGAGTCCTGCTGTTGTCTTACTTTCTGTTTCCAGCATTAGTTTCAGTACCACTGTACCCAAAAGCCAGCTTTCTCTTTAAAAAAAAAAAGTCCTGTCTACTTTTCAGCTCCAAACCCGATGATTTTGAGATTTCTGTCCATCCTGTTCCTCCCAAAACCTTCTGTAAGAGGAATATAGCTCAAATTTTTAGCTTGCTTTACATCAAAGGAGCTCACCATATTCCATCTGCACAGTGTTTAAGCTTTTCCTAAATATGACATTTCTTGGCACCCCTTCTTTTTGAGCATAGAGCTTTCTCAATCCCAGCCCATTAGTTTCCTTTTTTGCTTTACTGGTATGGCAGGAGCCTCTATGTAGAAATTATTCTCCTTCTTACTCCTACACTGTCCCTGTCACTCATTCAGCACTTACTTCCCAGAAGTTCTGATGAGAAAAATAAAATTACTCCAAAAAACTGCAAGACCAGCAACCTGAAGCTGGTGTATAGGATAGAGTTAAGTGGTAGGGAGGAATAACCTCCCCTGTTAACTCTCTTACGTCCTACATGCTACCTAGGAGGAAATCTGCTTCTTTGAAGAGATGACACATGATACTTTCTTAACAGAAGTTCGTAGTCTGTTCCAGTAGCTCTGGCAAAGAACTGCAGCTATGTTTGGTACTGAACAGGCTGTAGCACAAGAAAATTCTTGGGTTATCTGGTCTTTTCCATCCTTACTTTCCTTTCACACAGGGGGCATAAAAAATCTCTTATGTCAGAAATCTCTTGTAGTATGTTTGAAGTTTAGAGCTTTAATCTTTCAAAATACCAAAGAAACAGGTGAGACATTTAAAAGATAGTGATCTCAGGTATCAATTAGTAAAATGAGGTGACTTACCCAAGGCCATGCAGTGTAGCAGTAGCACAGCACTAGTGTATTCTCCCTCTGCATCTGGGTCCTTCCCCTAAAAGATACTGCTTTCTAAAAAAATGTTGTCTTCTCACCTTCCTCTTAGGTTACCATCCTGTCATCTTACATTCTTTTCCTATTAGTGATAGCATTGGTAGTGGTGGAAACAATGTTTTTGTTTCACTTGGCAAACAACTTCATCAGTCTGATTTAATGCTGGTCAATTATTTGATCTGGATTTTATTTGTAAAAAGGTGGTTTTAAAAACCAAGACAGTATCTTAAAATCTACTAGCTTTGGGTTTTGAAAGGATAAAAGTCAGATATATTTAAGAGACTTCATGTTGTCATAATCTGTATAGGGTTAATTAAAGTTACTATTGCTAGAGCATCAGATTTATAGTTCCCTTGATGAATAAAGTGATATAGCAGAAACTAGTTCACAGAACATTCTTCTGTTAATTTTTTTTTCTTCTTCTTTGGTTAGGCTGTAAGCCTTGGTGCTGTCTCTGAGTGTACGGGGAGAAAGTGTTACAGAATGTAGTATGAAAAATTATTCATGGTATTTAGATAACTGTTGGAGGAACCTTAGTTTAGAGATTTCTTCAAGATCTTTTCATTTTAGAGACCTCTTTATCCATCTTGCTTTTTCTGAGTAAATTTGACACCCGCAGGGAATAAGGGTGCAGCTCGGAAGCGCAACAC